TGCAGTGGGGGTGTCTATCAGACTCCAGTGACCAACAATTGGAAAAGAGGTAACCTGTATTTGGCAGTGGGCTTTTGTTAGCCTATGTGTCCAGGAGAAGCACCCCACCCCGTTGTAGGGTAACTCCACTTAGACTCCATTTTCAATGATGTTTTCACTTTGTCTTGTATGATGGAGACTGAGTGTGTACCTGCCATGGCACACATGTGGGGACCAAAGCACAACTGGCCAGAGTAAGTTCTCTCTTCTAACATGTGAGTTCCAGAGATCAAATCCAGGTTGGTTGAAGAGACTTCACCTGCTCAGCCACATTGCTGGCCTGATTCAGACATCCCCAGGACCTCCTAGCAATAGCAGATCAGGCTTGGATACTTCCATCCTTCAGACACAAACCATGAGAAGCAGCGACTGCCAATTTCTCTGCTTTCACTTTCTCTGCGTGATGTACTTGGGGCCCATTCCAGAACCTAGGGAATGTGTGTGGAGGGTAAGGAGTAGGAATACTAAGTAAATAACTTCCCTTTCCTATCTTGGCTCAGAAATGTCCAGTGGTTATCCAACACACTCAAAACCAAATCCAAATTTATTTTCCTAGCCCATGAAATCCCACACAGTTGGCAAGCTCCATCCCAGCCTCCCAGCAGCCACTATGTCTTATTTTCTAACATCCTGTCTCTTGCTCAGTGCACTCCAAGGCTGCTGGATTCTTTGACCGACTGTTCTACATCAAGCACATGGATAACTTACAGCCTGGATCACTCATTGACTCCCTCACTTTGTTTCATCCTTATTCTGTGTTTCTGCACAGAAGAGCCAGGCCTCCTCAAACTATGACCTGAGGTATTAGTTATTCTCATGTTGTTTACTGCTCATCGCCCTCCAGCAAAATGTAAGTTTAATGATCAAAGGGACATTACCTGTCTCCTTCGATGATAAAGACAGATTGACGCCTGCTTTTGCATTAGGTATTTAATAAGTATTCATTAAAGTGTGGACTTTGAAAAACTCCCCAGATTCTGTTTATTTTGGGTTGGTTAGGATGATGGACTGGTGGTGGCCTCAGAACTTTTCAGAACCTTGATGTTGCCTTTGAAGTAACTCTCAAACAGATAAACCCATCGCCTGGCAATCACCTCTGGAGCAATAACTGAACTCCCTAAAGGAAGAAATGTGAACTCCACCCACAGTAACCCGCTGATGCCCATTCATGCTCCTTGCTGTTCCTGGTTTTACCTGCTCTGTTCAGCCCGGTTATCGACTCTAAAGGGGCTGCTTGTTTTTAGAAGTAGTAACACTGAACAGTTGAGCTGTTTCACTCTCAAACTGTCGGTGTGGTGTTGGGAGGCCTCCATAACTCTCTTTTTATATTAAAATGTGTGTGGGCCAGGTGGTGGTGGCATATGCCTTTAATCCCAGCACTCAGGAGGCAGAGCCAGGCAGATCCTCTTACTTCTGTGCTGGTCCTTCCCAGAATTCCCTCTGCCATCTTGACCATCTATTCATGTTCATACCCTTGTCTCCCATGATGCCTTCTTTGAGTGGCCTTGGTTATATGCTTTTAAAAATGAATACACTTGTTGGGCTGTGGTGGCACACGCCTTTAATCCCAGCACTCAAGAGGCAGAGTTAGGTGGATTTCTGTGAGTTCAAGGCCACCCTGGTCTACAGAGTGAGTTCCAGGACAGCCAGGGCTATACAGAGAAACCCTGCCTTGAAAAAGAAAAACATAAAAACTGTTTTTTTCACAATTCACCTGGTGTGTGTGTGTATGGTTTTTTTTGTCTTTTTTTTCACTTGATGCAGTTTTTAATAAACATCCAAATAGGGTAGTTAAATATTCAATGTTATTGAATATTTAAAATCAATCTAAATACTCAAATTCTCAAAAATCAAAAGCTAACATTTGGTCAAAACACATGTATTTTGCTTTATATTTAAAGTAGTCTCACCATTTTTGATAACATAGTCTAGAATATTATTGAGGCGTGTGACTGCTGTGTGAAGGAGTAATAAAACAATATCCACGTTTTTTAAGACCTCTCTTAGAAGAACCAGAAATCCAAAGCTGTTTAATCTGTAACAGTTTAGTCTGAGGTCTTGGAAGCATAAAAAATTTCCCCTTGTGGTTCAAATAAGATATTTTGACAAATGGTGATAAAATATTAGAATACAGTACTAAAGTGTTGCTGTGAAACCCAACTCCTCCTACAGCATCCTGACTCACAGTATTTCAGCATCGACCTGTGCAAAGATAAGAAATTGTGTTCCCACTGCTTCCTAGCTTCCATGTTATCAGAAGGGATGGCTTTGATAAGGATAGATGTATCATTATGCACTATAGTGAAACTGAATAATAATTATCAAATGACAGAATTAAAAAGAAATGTCCAGCTGGAATGTCTGACCCCTGTGATTTGTGTTCTCACATGTGTGTGCCCATGGTTGCTTTTATCAGACTATTAAAGATACTGTGAATTTCATTCCCTGACCTGTCAGACCCTTGACTGTCACTTAAAGTAGTGTCCTAGGACTAGGAGATAGCTCAGCTGGTAAGTGCTTACTGCATCAGCATGAGAACATTAGTTAGATTCTTGGCACCCACGTATGGAGCCAGGCAGGTAGCCATGGGGTTTACTGGCCAGCCAGCCTAGCCTGGTCAGTGAGCCTCAGGCCATTGACATACTGTGACTTGAAGGCAAGCAGCTCCTGAGCAAATGGCACCTGAGGTTGACCTCTGGTCTCTACATATGCATGCACACGTGTGCATGTATACCTCCCCCCACTCACATGCAGAGGGCATAGTGATTGCTATAATTCATTTCTGCAGTGAATATGGATGCAGTATCTGCAGACTGTAGAGCTGATTTGAAAGTTGGATCTCTGGACAAATAGCAATGGCTGTATTAGCCTATGAATCCCTTGAATGGTGATGTTAGCTTCCTCTCTGTTCTGTATGTATACTTTCTAGAAAATGAAATGATAATTTAATCAGTCTATTAAAATGTCAGGGTTTATCTTGACTGCTGCCTTTTCAGGTAAGTGTTTGTGCTTAATTGGATTTCTGAAAGTGATGTCACTGAGAATGCTGATCAGATCCAAAATGAAAAATAATTTAAAATATTAGTACACAGTGACAGAAAAATAATGCTCCAATGTAAGTTAATGTGAAACTTGGATGATTAAGACTTAACGTCGGGCCAGTGAAGTGGTTAGTGGGTAAAGATATTTGCTGCCAAGCCTCATGACCTAAGTTTGATGCCCAGGACCCTGGGAGAAGAATAGTTGTCTTCTGACCACCACACATATGCCATGGTACACATGCTCCCAACACAAACACAATCAAATTAGAAACAATGTCTTGAGACATAGGCCCAGATTCATGCCTTGCTTTGATTCATGTACTTCTAGAACATTCTCTGTGTGGAAAATCATCCTGCAGTTGTTTGTGACTGGCTAAACATCCCGCCAGAGACTCTAGAATGGCAAAGTGGGAATTAGTGTTCATGTCAGAATTCCACTCATTTTTCAAAAACAGTGGTCACAAATCGACTAGTCATTTTCATGCTATGCCTCAAAACTATGTGAACCCTCTAGTGCCTTGTTTCAAACTTTTAGCTACTTCTGCTTATTGAGAATCTGCAGAGACATCATGTGCATAGAATGCAGGCAGATTCTACAGTATTAATCTGATCATGGATCTTTTTCTGTTGTTTTATGTTTTGAGACAACCTAGACTGGCCTTAAACTCATGGCTATCCTCCCACCTCGACTTCCCCAGTGCTGGGATTGCAGATGTGAGCCACTGGGCATTCTGATTTCATTTCCTTTCTGTTGCGCAGCTTTGCTTTTCTGGTCTCATTCACCACAAATGTAATATTAACATACCACCGAGAAGGCAGGAAATTTTGATCAACTGTTACACACTCTTTGTATACCAACCCCCAAAAGCATATCTGTGTCTAAAATGAAGTGGTTCCTCCAGTTTTTAAAAATCAAATGTTCTCCAATTCCTAGACTTCTGACCACAAACCATGTATGAGCAAGAGAGTTACCAAATCTACTTAGCGGTGATTCAAATGCGAAGAAATGTCAGGGACTATATAGAAGAAGTTAGTGATGTTGAAGATTTTCTCAGTTTGGGAGTAGATTTTGACTGCAGGTTTAAGAACCAATCATAGGGATTTATACAGTCAGATCCAGACCGACAGGGAATGACATTGTCTCAGAGATCCCAGATTCTGTGCTGCTCTTTGTGATTTTCACAGGCTTTCTCAGACCAGCACAGGCATTACTGAAGGCATCCTACAGCAAAGAAGGGAGAAGCTGACAACCATGTCCAGGAAGCGAACACTGCCCATAGCTTTCACAGTTACCTTGCAGATACACCTTTGGCTAGCCTGATATCGTGCCATCTGCCTCTGGTTTTGTAAAGGAGAAGGTGTACAGAGAAGAGGTTACGTCTGCCATACTCCTGCTTTTGCTGCTTACCAAGGCTTCTTCCTTGCGCTTTTCTTCAGCAACACTGATGGCCTGTGGGTCCTATTTGACTCCTCACAGGGACATTTGCTTTTTGCCTCTGAAACTTCAAGTGGGTGCCTCTGAGCACCTGCCATGTATTCTTCTCCCCCAACTAAAACGGTTCGGATTGAGTCTTAAAACATGCTGAATGACAGTCATGGCTACGAGCGTACAAGTATATTAGCATATGCATCAGCATATATTAAGTGTGTTAGTACACACTCATGAGCAGAGAATTGCTCATGAAATAAGACCGTCTGACCAATCTGGAAGATTGAGTGAATAAGGTTGACAACAGTTGTATTGTTGTCTTTTCAGTGGTATTGATTCCAGCTTGGAGTGGTGCTGCATACATGTAGTTATGAAGCAGATCTCACACAAACATACACACAAACACACACATACACAAGCACACACACATACATGTCTGTATATACATCTATGTGTATTTACATGTATATGTATATTTTTATCTGTTGCAGATCCCTTCAAATAGATTGGATGACACCAGGAAGTCCAAATGGTATCATTCTCGGGTATGACCTTTTACGGAAAACATGGCATCCATGCCATGAAACCCAGAAGTTAACAGAGGGACACAGTGATGAGCTATGCAAGGCGGTCAAGTGTCAACACCCTGAAAATATCTGTGGGCAGACTTGCTATTCTCCGGAAACTAAGGTAGATCTTCTCACATGTACCAATGTAAACCCAGGCCCCTACACTGTGCTCTATTATGACAAATGTTTGTCATATTATGCTATGAAGATCACAGAGAGAAGAAAGTATGCCTATCAAAGTCCTACTGACCTTCTGAGCATTTTAGCCTTCATACTTTTCAGAAAATATGGGTTTATTAGGACAATAAGGACCCCCTAAATTAGTATCATCTTGAGGGACTCAAAGTTTTCATTATACAAATTCATTCAGCTACAGATGGCTGTTTTTTCCCACAGCTCTGATACATTGCCATGAACAGGCCTGCTCCTGGTGTGTCAGAAATATTTTAGAATTATGGTCATTTGTAGATTAATGTTCATATTAGTTGCTGTTTAGGAATCAGATCAATAATACAGCCAGACAGAGGGTTTTGTAAATGGCTTTTATTGACAAACAACACAGAAAACTACTTGATTTGAAGGTAAGATTTCATCTAATGAAATAATGTGCTATTTATCAGTAACATTGCGCATTTGATGACTAAGGCTACTCCTAAATCCATAAGATTCACTAGAAAGGAACTCCAGAATGAATAAAGTGAGTTTCTGAAGCAATATGGATCGAAATACAAATTATTATGTTTGCTACTCGCTTGGTGGTAGTTACTATGTAAGAGACACAGAAAGCCAGCCACTTGGCAACCTTAAAATTTTTTATATCTCTAAAATTATTATGCTTTAATTTAATTGTGTGTATGGGTGTGTATGTATGTATGTGTGTGGTCTATACATGAGTGTGCATATGGACATGGAAAGGTCATGATGGGAACTTGTTTTTTAATATAAAAATCTGCTACTTAAAATGCAGAACTTTTAGAAATACAACTATATCTTGTCTAGTAATTTTTTTGTACATAGAGTTGATATTGAGTGATTTTGATGAAAACTTTAGAAATTGCTTAAAAAACAAAAGCGTCCTCTCAGAACTGTTAATCATGGTACATAACTTTGCATACTTTTTATGCAGAATATGGCATTGAAAGGAAGAATCATCCAGTTTATGCTTACAGTGAAACTGCTCTTAAATACTCATGGCTAACAACTAAATCCAACAACAGAAACGTGTTACTGTTTGTTTAGGAAAGCTGCCCTGGTGGCTGGATTGGAGAGCACTTCTGTGCCCTTAGATAATTTTGTAGATGAGTGACTGAGTGAGTGGGACTGTGGAAGACTTAGGCCGTGTTTCAGTCTCTGCTTTAGCCGCTCCCAACGTGGAGGCATCTCAGAGGGAAATGGGGAGTTCCCAGGAAACAGTGTTGATTTGGTCTGCCATGGGAAGAGTCTGTCTAACTGAAGGGACTCCTCCCAAGTCCACGTTCTGAGTCACTTCCCAGCCTCCACTCAGGGTTTGATTTGTCTTATGTGAAGCATAAAGATACAAAGCCGAACTTGATTGTTCAAGCGTATATTTTTTTCTGCAGCTAGCTCCTGGCAAAAACACAGTGAAAAGGACTTTTCAAAATTAGTTTCCATATAAATTTCTTTCTGTGTTGTAGTAGGTTATGGTATACATTTGCTGTGATGTATGTTTGCATAGGTGTGTAGATATGTGTTTATATACGTGTGTGTAGATATGCAGAGAGGGAGAAAAGAAAAGAGAGAGGAGATTGCCTTATTGGAAAAATGGGATTCATAAATAAATGATCATATACATTATAAGGAAAATTCAACTTATTTAACAAAAAGGATGAGTAAGAAGTAGTTTACACTGGTGTGATGTTTTCAAGTTAAGCAATCATGAAAATAAAGATGTGTGTGTGTGTGTGTGTGTGTGTGTGTGTGTGTAGGAAATGGTTCTTTTACAATTTTAAGTAACTTTATATTAGAAGCATTGGCAGTCTAAAGGTAATTTACATTTTCAGTTACATAATGTTATATCACAAAGCAAAGCTTAGTTGAAGAGGGGAAGGTGTTTCATGAATCTTAAATGGTCTTTTAATAAAAAATCCCAGAGCCAGATACTGGGATAAATGCTGAAAGATCAGGGAGACAAAGGAACAAGCCACAGCCACTTCTTACCTTACCAACTCCATGACTCCTCTGTTTGGATGCCTGTGAATCCTCAACCGAAAGGACTCTCAGCCAAAAGGTCAGCCCATAGAGGCTTCAGTGGAAAAGCCTTGGTTCCTGTCTTCTCACACCTTACATACCTTTCCCCGCCCGACCATATCACTTCCTTCCTAGTGCTGAGACTAAAGGCATGTGATTCCCAAGTGCTGGGATTAAAGGTGTGTGCCATCACTGCCTGGCTCTGTTTCACTCCTAGACTGAGTCAATCTCATGTAGTCCAGGGTGGCTTTGAACTCACAGAGATCCAGACAGATCTCTGCCTCCTGAGTGCTAGGGTTAAAGGTGTGTGCCACCACTGCCTGGCATCTATGTTAAATCTAGTGGCTTGTTTGGTTCTCTGATCTTCAGGCAAATTCTATTAGGGTACACAACACATCGCCACAGGAAGGTAAGCTGCGCTGTATCAACTGACATTTATGGAATCTGTATAATGCTGAAGAATACATTTTTACAGCTGTAGGTAATATGGCCACCTTTCAAGACTTTTTCAGAAGATAATTATGCTCTGCGAGATGAAGCATTCTTAATTAAGTGGATGTATTTATTTTTAAATGTAGAATGGCTTATTTTTTAAAATATTTCTTTAAAACCGATTCCAAACTTTCAGGTTTGTTGTGACGGACTTCTCTATGACCCTAAGCCTGGATACAGATGCTGTGAAGAGAAATACATTGCATTTCTTCCGAATTCCACTGGCATTTGTTGTGGGGGCCGAATCCATGAGGCACAGCCAGATCACCAGTGCTGCTCTGGGTATTACGCTAGAGTTCTTCCAGGTAAGCGTCCTGTGCCACAGTCTTCAGCAGCTTAGGGAAGCTGAAAATGCAAGCCTGTGACCCACGTCAGTGAATTATTTCCAGGACCCTCCCATCAAAACCTGAACCACAAAGGCACAGCCAGTGGCGTGCTTTAAATGCTATTTCTCTGGCTTTGTTGAAAGGCAGCCAGAAGTGAAAGAGATGTATCAGAAACTTCTAACATCCACGGTAGACAGAAATGTCTATCAATAACTCCTGATCAACAACTTATCTCTTGTGGCTTTGTTTCATTCACACACTTCAAGGTTTCCTCATCAAATCTATGAGTCATGAACTGTCTGTGATGGTTCATCTTCCATGTCAGCGTGGCTAGATTTGAAATCACTTAGGAGACACACCTTTGGCAGCAGCTGTGAGGGTGTTTCCAGGGAGCTTTAATGAGAAGAGAAAACCCCGGGGTTAATGTGGGCTGCAGCATCTGGTGTGCTGGAGTCCTAGACTGAAGAAAAGAGAAAACAGAAGAGAGCCAGCTGAGCGTTGACCACTTCCTCCTCTGCCCTGCAAGTACAGATGCAGTGTGAAGTCACTCCTGTACTGGCCTTCCCAGCCGAGGGAATGAGTCCTCGGCTGTGAGCCACCATCACCCTTCCTAACTCAGATTGTTTTATCATGCACTTTGTCTTAGCAATGAGGGAAGCAACCAGAAGCTAGTGTACTTCCCAGACTGAGACACTCTTCTCCACTCCCTCCATTTCTCTCTGGAGAACTGCATGCCCCATTCCTAAGTGGATGATAACTGGGTCCATTTATGTGAGCATTCCAAACTCCAGTAGTTAATCCTGTTAGCTAAAGTAAACTAGACATTGTTTTCCAAATTTAAATGACATGAAACAGTGCCCAGTAAATGTCATAGGGAATGAGCCACAGTTTATAAAGTGGAAGATCTCGGATAGGCTTTGTATCTAAAGGTTTGCAAAAAATCTCCATTATTGCCTAACTTCACTGCCGTTTACAAGTAAGAAATGGGTTTAAAAGTGACTGCTAACACTCCAAGATTGGTGTATAGCTTGAGAACTCAAAATGGAATGCCTGCTTTATTTTCTCAAGCTCCACGCTCCTTTTTGAGGACTTGATTACTCTTTCATCAAAGCATGCTTATGATGCTAGTTGGAGGGAGCTTCCACCTCGGTGATAATAGAAACAAAACAGGAGGCAGAGGGGGGGAACATCACAGGTAAAAGCTTCCTTTGAAAGAGAAAGGAAGTTGTAGAGATGTGAACAGTGCTGATTAAAAGATTCATGCTGCCTTTCAACAAATCAAAAAACAAGCCTTTGGTCTGGTTGCTCGAGTGGCCTGGGCTTAGGTAACTTTCCATTGGTCAGGAGGTTGGAATTTGTTTTTTATTTGTGTGTGTGTGTGTGTGTGTGTGTGTGTGTGTGTGTGTGTGTGTGTGTATGGTGATATTTTATTTGTACTGAAATGTGATTTTATTTGTATGTTAATAAATAAAGTTGCCTGGGGGTCAGATTTACTAGTAAGCCACAGCGGAGCTGGGTGTTTGTGGTGCATGCCTTTAATCCCAGCACTTGGTAGGCAGAGCTAGGTAGATCTCTGTGTGGTCAAGGATACAGCCAGCATTGGAGACACATGCCTTTAATCTCAATACCAACCATAGAAGACCTGGAGGTCTGTACAGACAGGCAGTGATGAGGCCGTCATGTGGTTGGGTTTACAACCAATGAGAAGGCAGAACAGAAAGTCTATATAAAGACAAACATACAGGAAGTAGGTCTCTCTCTTGGCTGAAGAGGCTAACTGCAGCAGACGGGTAAGGCTCTTAGCTCTGATCTCTTAGCTTTCTTCTTTGTATTGGTTCTGTGTTTCTTATTTAATAAGATGGTTGGTTACATCTACGTGTGTGTGTGTGTATGTGTGTGTGTGTATGCATGCATGCACTTACACATGCGTGCTTGCATGTATATGCATGCAGACATGTGCAGAGTCTAGAAGAGGTTTGGCCTTATTCTGTTGAGATAGGGTCCGGCTAATGGCTAGAAAGCTGCAGGGTTCCAGATTGGCGCAGCCGCACCCAGTTTTCTTCTTGCATGGCAAGCATTCTTACCCACTGAGCCTTCCTACCCCAGGACAGCATTTTTCCTCCTCCCTCCCCCGACCCCCGTCTCATGTAGGCCAGCAACCAGCTTGTTAGGGTGACATCATGGCATTGTCATTTTGTACCCAGCATGGCTTATCCCTGATATAAATGATAGAGGAATCAAGATCGTATATTCTACATATGGCTGACAGGGAAGGAAGGGACTTGACTTTAGTGGCTACCTGGTCGTAGACTAGGGCCCCCAAATCTGTCTGCCTCTTGTTCCCATTGTTCGCGTCTACTTCATTAACATATGTTGACATTTCTAAGAATTATTTTCAGCCAATAAACTTCTCCTGTCTCTGGAGAAACCACTCTAAATATATAAACATAACCACTTTTTTTCCTGTCACCTAAGTTTACCACTGATATCGTCCTCTTTTTAAAGATTTGTTTGTTTATGTGTATGTGCTGGGTTAGTTTATGTTGCCATGTGTCCCATCACTGAGAACTGGAGTTACAGGTGGTTGTGGGGCAGCTGAGATGGGTGCTGGGAGCCAAATCCAGGTCCCCTGGAAAAGCAACAAGCGTTCTTAACCACTGAGCCAACCCTCCAGCCCCAGGACACCAATGTCTTTCTTAAAGACAGGAAGATGAATTGAAAAGAGAGAAGAAAGTGATTTTTCAGATGCCTTAAGAGAATTGAGTGCTCTGAGAGACACAGTTGAACCCGAAGTGCTAAACGTACGGTTAGTTGAAACCATTAATGTCAAGCATTCACTGTAGTCTGTATAACTATAACCATCCAAGTATATGATGTCAGGGATTCTCTGACCCAGTTTCCTTTGCAGAACACAGGGTCAAACATGTAAGGTATTGTGATTAAATACTTCGAGTTTATTCATGATGGTGAGCCTTCATTTCGACCATCTTCATCTTCCCCTACAACTCACAGAGGAAAAAAATCTATCTTTATAGCAATGTTATTGTCTCTGATTCTCCAGAAAGAATATGTTCATAATTGAATAAATCATAATAATGTTTCCTAGAAGGAAATATGCTGACAGAAGTGTAAGGATTTTGTAGAAGAGTGTTGACTTGTTTATTAAATTCTGATTCACAGTTGTTAGCAACTGATAAAATAAAACACTGTCAAATGTTCTTTTCTCTCCAAATGGCCACAGTTGGGGGTTCTCATCTATGATTCTTCTCTCTTCTTCCTGCAAATAACTTCTTTAAAACTTTGAGAAATGAGATGGGCATTTCCTAGTGTCTGCTCTTAGCTCCCATGTCAGTCGACCCTGGGAGGATCTTCTGAGTCCCACACACCACTAAATAGAATAAAAATAGCTCATATGGATATATAAAAGAATTTTATTTCAAAGTCACTTTGAAAATTTTGATATGACTATTTTAAACAAACCAAGCCCAGAAAATAGTTCTTCCCCTCAAAATTAATGACAAATGTGTACTCCCATTTAGTAATTTAACAAAGAAGATTTGCCTGCATGTGCCTCTTCAAGCCCAGCAGTATGGGACTTAGAACTAAGGACACAATACACTTTTATTACACTTCAAAATAAAATTTAATGGTTTTTCCAACAAATTAAATAAATGAAAACTTATGGGGCTTTTATTGATATTATATAAGCCTTCTAATACCTGACAATGTATATTTATGTCCACATGTGATATATTTACATGCATGCATGCATATGTGTGTACTTTGGAGATTTAAGGTAGCAGTCAGTGTCTTCCTCAATCACTGTTCACTTAAAAAGTGTTTTGTTTTGTTTTTCTTTTAGTTTAGCATGTATTTGCATCCATGCATGTAAGGGGCAGGAGGATAGAGAGATGACATGTAAATGCCTCAAAACGTGTACATGTGGAGACCAGAGGACAACTTTTGAGTGTCAGTTCTTGTCTCTCACTGTGTTGAGGCAGGGTCTCTCTTTTTTCTGCCACTACCTAGCATGCTCCAGGCTAGGTGGCCCATAAGCATCTGGCCAACTCTTCTCCTCTTCCCACCTGTCCTTGGGAATGCTGGGACAGAGATGTGGACCAGCACATCCTGCTCTTTATGTGGGTTTGGGGGTCAAACTCCAGTAGTCAAGCTTGAGTGGCAAATGCTTTTACTCACTGAGCCAACTCCCCCACCCTCTGCCTTCTCTGAGACATTATCGCTCACTGAACCTGGAGCTAACTAGGCTGGTTGGCTACCAAGTCCCAGTGATCCTCCTGTCGCTGCCTTTCAGTGCTGTGATGACAGGCACAGACCACAGGTTGGTTGGGTGGTTTTTATGTGGATGCTGGGGGTCCAATTTCAGATTCTCATGTAGATATGTGTGTATGTGTAACCTGTCAAAATTATATGTATTTATGCATATATATCACACATACATGCATATCTATGATGTCTACCCAGCACACGTACTGAGTCACAGAAAGCATTTCAATGTCTGCTGAAGTGCTGAGCCCATAGGACACTCAGATTCTTTGAAGCAGTTGTTTTCCACAGTCTTACATTGTCCTATCTTGTCAAGATAAGAAAAAATAAAGAAAGAAAGAAGCCATCTGGAGGGAGAATCAGGGCCCTGCTTCAGCTGCTAAACTGTATACGTCTAAATGAAGGGATGCTTTTCTGACCTGGGTCCTCAGCCCATGGTCTTTGTTAACTAGTTTAAGGCCATTTACATCAAGAAAGAAATGTAGTGACCCCAAACTGTCTTGCATCTTACTGTAATTAAAATCCAATCAGTTGTCTCCATGCTTACAGCTGGGATGCGTACAGGCATTCTGATATTTCTAGAGGAGTTGAAATATTGGTAAATAATATTCCTTCTTTTTTCTTCTCAAGACTATGCTCTATAGCTACACATCATAAAGAGCAGCAGAGAGGGGTACTCGGTAACCCCACTTTTT